GATTCCACGGTTGGTCAGTTTTAAACAATCGTTTTCGTGACCCCCGATGCACGAATTGAAGAGTTTGATTTCTGAACTTTTTAAAATAGTTTAAAGAGAGTCGTCGCATCTGGTCCGATGCGAATACGGGTAATGGTGCGTTAAAGATGGCTCTTGTATACTTCGCTGGCGACGCAAACAAATTTTGGTAACGTTAGGAAACTAAGAAGGGGGGTTTAATAGTTTTCTAGTCGTCGATTGAATACACACAGCGATCGGGAAGGTTGATGACCTTAATACGAAACGACTATTTAAATATGTAATTATAAGCATTGATCTTCGGATTAGAAAAATCTGAAGAATTTTTGGTTGGCAGATCATAAAAGGTGCATCACCATGTGAAGACATAATGGGTTTAACGTGTGGCATTGGTTGGGCCTACACATCGCGTAAAGCATTGTTTGGAAACAACCGTGATTACTAAAAAAAAACTTTTAGTGGTCATGGATATAATCGTTATATGCGTTTACGTGCGTATGCGTTTTGAAAGTACCTAATTACAAATCATTTAATATTATAATAGGTTTGATAAAATCAGGATATGGCACACAGAATCTGGGACGCAGATTACAACACTTTTCGTTTACAGAAAATGAATGAACGTTACGTTACAATGAACAGTGGGCGTTAGGGCTGTCGATGTTTCTTTAATTACTGAAAAGGTATAATTTTATCACTATAAGGCGATAACGAAGTTCTATTGCTAAGCCTTCGCTATCCGTCCTTCCGTCTGTCTTTTAGTAGGGTAGTGGTGAAGCGTTGGTAAAGGTTAATATCGTGATCTTTTTTCCCATAACTAACAATAGCACGTGTTTCAAATGTTCAACCTTGTAAGATAGTGCGGAACCATTCATGTGCATTCATGACACACTCACGGGAGTAGGGCTACCATTTAGGAATTTCAAAAGTCCTGACAAAAATCCTGACATTTCGAAAAAAGTCCGGACTGTTTAGTCACAAAATGTTACCAATACTCACTTTCACTTAGTTACAATGATAGGGTATTTAAATGAATATGTATATACTTTTATTATTCATATTAAATGTAATTTTAAAAATCGGATCAAAATCCGGACTTTAGTCTAAAAGTCTTAATCCGGACGGATGGTAACCCTACACGGGAGGTGCTTTTTTTCAAATTATATCCTTAAGTCATTGGTAGAAATTCGGAATTGCTATTCGGCAACCCTAATGAGTTAGTGCGATGACGTTTATATAACATTAGGTACATAACGTAGACGTCACTATCTTGTGGTCGTGGGTGAGACTGGAATAATATTCCACTATAACATTACAAACGAAATATATTATTTTATCAGCGCATACACACTACGAATGACTTGACCCAAACAACATAATATTACAATTTACAATACAATGTAACAGCTTAGCTATGAATCAGTGTTCCATGACATTTCCAATTTGTTATAATGTTATTCCTAGAAGTTTACACACTCAGTTGTTACATATATTGTTTGTGTGAGCGAGTTAAAGTAACCTCACAATTAAGACAAGAATTTTAAAGGACCTGCTAAATAAGACAAGAATTACAAAAGGTTATCGTTTAAAAACGGCGAGACATTAACTTTTGACTTTGACACTTAAATTTATCCTGAAATGATCAATAGAGGTCCACTTTACAGACGACCACTGTTGTCTTTTTGTAGGTAATGTTTCTAAAGCTTTACGAGATTGGGTTTAGGCCGACAAGGCGAGGCTGGCTGAAGCGGCACATTTTTCTGCCGCATCAGCACTATCTTCGCGCCACTCAAAGCATACTTAATGTAGGGTTGGGTTACTCGTATCTCATACAAGTATATTTCCCATAAAACAGGCTGATTATTATGCAACATGTTACCATCATGCGTTGCATAGGAACGCATGACTACCAACTATAAGAGTTGTACAATATCTAATTTCTTTACTACACAAGTCATTGTAACTCGCAATAGAGATGGGAAATAATGAATTGAATTATCGACAATAATGATGAGATAGTCATGTAAATAAATGCTGCTTGACTAGTAATGAGTCTTCGCAAAGATGTTAACAATTGAACAATCGTAGGATATTACTGTACATATTATATGATTTTTAGGGTTCCGTACCTCAAAAGGAAAAAACGGAACCCTTATAGGATTACTTTGTTGTCTGTCCGTCCATCCGTCTGTCAATACCGTTTTTCTCAGGAAAGCGTGGAGTATCAAACTGAAATTCATATCTAATACTCAGGTCTACTGTCCCTTGGAGCTGTGAAAAAATCAAACTTCTAAGCCAATGCAATCAAAAGATACAGCCGTTTATGCCGCAAATTTTCGAAAGTCGCACAGGAATCAAAACTTACAGGGTACCTACTTCCCGTGAACTAAGAATCTTGAAATTTGGTACGAAGTAACGCCTTATAGTACAGATAAAAGAAAAACTGCGAAAAATTTTTGGTACATAACATCATATAATAAAAAAATATTTTTTAACAATTTTTAAAATATACCTACAGGTTTATACGGAACCCTCCTCGGTGCGCGAGTCCAACTCGCACTTGGCCGGTTTTTTATTATAAAGATTGTATTGTAATTTTTATAAATATTATTTAAAAAAAAGCCCTAGCTCCGTTCGCTTTGATTCGACTATGGTGTGATTGTAAGGTCAATAAATGAACTGCAAATTGAAATTTTATTCAAATATACCTATTGTTTTACTGTTGTTGATTCCATTCCAATTCTATGTTGATTTTCAACACGGTCGCTTTGTTGAGTTTGTAGTCTCATCACTAGCCCTAATAACGTTTTATAACACATGTGTGTTAACTACCTAAAATAAGTCATGACGTGTGGGAGACCTCGTGGTGCCGCATTGAGTAGGTACTACTGTATACTATAGTATACTACATTCAGCGACGCAGCGTATCAAAACAAACTATTTATCTGGGTCAAACAAGATGATCTAAACAACTTGGAAACAAATGTCGCTATGAGCCTACCTACTTTTGATGATACTACATAAACGTAACAGACATGATGTATATGGCTTGCATTTTTGTTATCTTCACGTTATAATTTAATCGCTGTGGCTGTCCGTCTTGACCTTCTCAGTATTCGTTATTGTTAAGTTCTGTAACTATTAATCTTCGGTAAATAAAAAAAACCAACGAACAACTGCTGTGCAGTAAGATTCGGTTTTAGATTGTTTTTTTAAGACACGTGGCGCGTGTTCGTCTTAATTATGCTTTAATAAGCAGTTAAGTATTTTTCTTCTTTCACATACCGACAATGCAAAAACTTCCATTACGTACGAATCAACGATGAAAAGACTTTAATGTTTTAATAACAGAGCTTCGGTAATTTAATTTTAACTTCCTTTTACAATCTTTTATGGACTTATCCGCACCTTGATTGACAAAAAATCGCTGCTAATATCAAAAGGCGATTTTTTAAGTGTCGCAAAGGGGTGGCACTTAATATAGTGGGGACTTAAATGGTTTCAAATTAATTATAAAGGGATTAACATCTTGTGAATTGTTTTTGCATTATGGACTAGTAATAGGTAAAGAGCGGTGTTTTGAAATAGTACTTATTTATTCATTGTACTTAATTTTTTTCTCATTTATCTAGTGTACTATAATATTTTATATAATATGTCGTAAATAATGGTAATATTGGTTAGGTACAAGTCCAATTTATAGATAACTAGCTGTGCCCCGCGGTGGTATCCGCGGTTTATTAGAGATAATTTCCCGCAGTAAAATTTCAGCTAATTCCATACCAAATTTTATTAAAAATAGCTCCAGCCGTTTAGACGTGAAGAAGTAACAATCATACACACTCACAAACTTTCGCCTATATAATATTAGTGTGACTAGCGACCGGCCGCGACTTCGTTCGTGTTAACTTTAGTTTTTTGAGAATCCAACAGGAACCTATCAATAACCTCAAGACAGGTCATAAACTATATGTGTACCACATTTCATTCAAAACCGTTCAGTAGTTATAGCGTGACAGCGTTACAAACAGCCAAACAAATAAACTCACTTTCGCATTTATAATATTACTTAGGAAGGATTATCTAATAAATAAAGCTTGTGTTTAGCATCCTCTAAGTGTGATACCAGTCTTCAAAATTAAATAAGTTTCATATTTAGCACAATGGTATCATGTGTTATGTAATGTAGTCACTTTAGTAGTCTGACACCTAATGACTGACATTATTTATCAGTTACTTACTGACTTCTGTGCGTGCGAGAAATGGGCCAGTTGTAAATTATAAAAACATTATTGTCAAGATGCAATGTTTATTGAGTTAGTAATTTAAGCTTTAATTTGGTTTTGGTATTTTTATTGTATGTTTGTTCGATATTTTGAAAATTATCGATTCTTATGATGGTACTGAATAGTGACTTAATGATATTAGTATGTTTTTATAAATAGGTGCTCCTATGCTACGAGGTCAATGAACTGCCTCTAAATAAATGCTTGTTACTTTCCAATGGATGCTTGTGTATCAATTATAAAATTCATTTGACTATTGAAACAGGATTGGATTTTATTAGTCTGTTATGGGACTTTCACTAACCATTTTGAATTCAGTTAAGATGAAACAGGGGACACTGGCCCATTAAAGCTTTTGTTATAATATTTTCATATAAACAACTAGCTGAATGTAATCTGACCGAAATAGGTGTGCGACAGACCTTATTATGACGTAGATTTTCATCGTATCTTTATCACCAACACAATGCAACCCGAGCGTTGCATTTGGTGAGATAAGGTTGTCTGCTGTTTTATAAATAACTTGCCCAATTAACTACGATTTATTGCACAGATCAAGTACTTATCAGCTAAGGTGAAACTTGGTAAACGATGTTGTTTATTACAACTTTTAATGTATTATCTATACTTGATAGATTACCATTTTTATGGGTAAAGGAATAAGCGCATTTTTTTGGATTTTGTTTATGGTCTTACCTGTAATTCTCTTCTGAGTTTTACTGCTGCTCTCTGGACTGGACATTTTCGCGTCTTGCGAGGGTGCCTTCGGCTGTGGTGTAGCTATGGTGATAGGTGCTCGTCTCAACGCCGCAGGGATGGCTGCCGCCGGCACCAGGCTCCACACGAACCGCTGCTCACCAGGCAAGGGCACCTCTTTCGCAAAATCAAAGCCCCATTTCTCGCTATCTTGCTTCAACTGGCGAGCCAACTCTCTCTCCGCAAACCTTCTGTTTTCCTCCCTATCTGTACATCCAAACAAGTTCCTCCTGACGCCATCAAGATTCGTCACCCCACGCACGCGCATTGAACGACTCTCCAGCAGCGTGGTGGTCTGCAGACCGGGTGCCCTCACACTCAACGTCGACATCTTCAGAGTCCAATAGCACAACCAAACACAGCGCCGCACTTCACAGATAGCATCCGCGACGCTCTTCACCTAGCGCAAACAAGGTCAAAATTCAGTCTCTGTATACGAAAGAACACGATAGATTGAAGAAGCTGTTAACTGTTTGGTTCATCACGCACCAATAAGAATACGTATTGTTGGTTAAATTAGTGAGTGTAAACAAGACGAATGACGCGGCGCGCTCGAGGACGCGAACAACGCGTCCGCCTTACAAGAATTGCGTCCGACGACTAATGCGCTACGCGAGCGACGCGACGCGGCAGCGGTGGACTTGCGCAACAATGGTTCCACCTCTCGCCGCTGCGTGACGCTAGCTCCGCGTGCGCTCGAGTTTCCTATCCAGGGTTTTCGCTGCTTCCAATTTAATTTGTCTTGTGGTGATGCAACTGCATGGTTACTTCAGATATTAATTTCTGATCGTTACCGTCACGATTTTGAATTAAAATTATTTATTAAAATGCTTAGAAGTATTTTTTTGAATACATTTATTTACAGTATTTTATGTTGTGTTAATATTGTACCTGTTATTATTATAATAAAACAAGCACTAGAAATACTGTATGTATGTAGTAATTAGGTGATTTCCCTTCACGATAAACTTTGTAAAAAACTAAAACTACACAATTAAAAAAAATGCCTGAAAATAAAATCATTGGTTTTACGGAATACTAGCGGATGTCTGCGAGTTTGCCAATGTCAGAGATTTAGATAATGTAAAATACTAAGGTAATTATATCTCATATTTACATAGTTTTAACTTAATCCTCTTTAACTTAAAGCGCAGCATATAACCTATCCTATTCTTACAATATACTTTAAAACAAAATTTATAAATATCCGTTCTGCGATTTAGGCAGGCATGTAATTGGTGATTTCGTATCTATAATAATATTCATAATAATATTATAATAGCGACGAAATCATAAACTAAGTTACCCCTTTAAATTTCTCAGTTTTTTTTTATCAGCAAGATAAGAATAAGAAGAAGTATCAACGGTTAGCTAATAGTTAAAATTTCTTTATTTGACAGCCACACTCAGAGACATGATAATTAATTAAAATCTTGTCAAACTATGAATTGTCTTATTTTACTGAAACCGTATTAGGAACTGACAGTAGACAGATACAGTACCTATCAATTTAGTCAAACTAACAACAAAGTATCAACATTCAAACTTAAAAAAATATTGAAGATTCTGCGATCGGTCATCAAATATTTATTTATTTATAAAGAAAGAACAAAAAGCACAACATAAGGTGTTATTCTGATACTTCATTAGTTTTTAAGTTTGATGAAAGTTGACACTGCTATTTTCTTTTGTGACGGTAATTAATTAAAATATCTCTGAGTACCGTACCGTTACAGTATTTATTTCATGTACAACAATAAATACCGCATAATAAATTATTAAAAAGAGTTTATTTGTTTTATTACACATTTACAAATAAATGATCTTCCGAAGCCATTTCGAATTCGTTTTAAAACATAGTAAGCGTTTTATAATATTACATGTCAGTATAGTGTGCGTGGGAATCTTAGAAAAAAAACGAGCGAGCCTTACAGTAGTCGCGTATGATATGTAACATTTGAAACCTCACCTTATATTAGTAAAAAAAGAAATAAAACCTAGTACAAAAGGAATAAGCCATTTGAACATTATGTTCTAAAGTCAAATCAAATAGCGCGGGCTTTCGCGATTTCCTGTCCCATTTCACGAAATCACTCCCACAAATTGCAGGAAAACGAGAGGAAAGATGTTACACATCAAAAAATATGAAATGTATTTTTTAGTATTGTAAAACTATTTTAACGATAAAACATAAATTTTTCCGAACCAGATAGTTTGTATAAATTAGTGGGAGATAAAACAGCGTTGTGGCAACCCCGGCGAGCACGAGTTGTTTACGATACGATGAACGAAGACGTGTCTCGTTACGTGTGCAGCATACTACGTATTTTGATGTGTAGCTGTCCCTTTCTGATGTTAATGCGGCAGCTAGCGACGAAAGAGACAGCGAGTGTATTAATAGCGATATAGCAACGCCGCCATTTTGCCAAGACGAGATCGAGTAATTTTGTTTAGACTGTTGATTTACTAATATTTCTGCTTTAGACCGAATTTCGAAACTCTAAAGGATAATAGTAATATAGTGTATATTTTTTATTATAAGTCGCAGATACTTTTAAACTTTGTTTGATGCCCGAGTTTTAAATTAATTTACGATAAAAATATATTCTAATCGGGAAATTGTCGGTTTAATGCGAAAAATTCCGCCTAAATTGACTTATAAATGTTTCTGTTTTTGTAATAGGTAACATTAGGATGTTATACTAGCACTTACCTCTCAGGATTTTTATAATATCCACGGAAAAATCAGCGATTTACCGTCGGGGTTCACTGCACTGCCGTACTAATTTCAAGATACCACAATGACGCGATGGCGAGAACGCGGGCTTGTCGCTGATTGGTTGAAAAAGGCGGCCATTGTTCTGGTTGGTCGGGAAAATTTTAGGCGCCAATTTTCGGTTGGTCGAGATGCAGGATGGCGGGAAAGAATTGAGGCACTTTCCGCCGCGCAAGAGTTTTGGTACGGAAAATTGTATTTGGCGCGTCGTGCTTCCTTTTCAGATACCTTTAAACATTCAGCGTTCTTGGTTATTAAGTTTATAACCTGATTGTTGATTTTTCTTTGTGGAAGAGCATTTTTTACTTCTTGTTTCCATGACATGAACGCTGATAAATATTTTACTATGAGTAGAACATATTTTTTTGGAATATCATTAATTATTTTTATATTATAGTATATATCTATATATTGTTTATTTGTTATAAAAAATTGAGTAACTATCGGTAATTTTATGAACCTTCTTCTTATGTATGGGAACTTTGCTATTATTTAGTCATGTGCCATATTATTACACACACATAAATAAATAATAAAGACATTTTTCACATTTTAAAATCTGTGTGGGTTATATTAAGTAAGCAAAGTAATTATTATAATTTAAGAGAGATAGCACAGCGGCTTTTCTGATAGGTTTAAGCTCCCGCCTGGGGAAGCCTTCACCATATAGAAGATCACAGTAAAATAACACTACCTTTTGGTGGTATTGTGGTTTTCTGCTGGTGTGTAAGGTTCCAGGGCTTCGCAGGGTAGGGTATTAGGTTCAGGCTGGCAAGGCACACCTGCCTGCTATCATCTATCTTCGTGGCTGGACTCCACTTACACTTAACATCATCATGATAAGGAGGGGAAGGGTAACTTGTTGCGCTTCGTATGAAAAAAATGTATACTTGTACCTGTTATATTTGAAATAGTTTTATATTTTGTATTAATTGTAAGGGTTCTCATGAACATTTATTAAACCTTTAAGTAATTAGTTCATATTAGCTTTATTTATTGTTCGACAACTTCATTTTAAACGGTAAACTAAAGTATAATGGTTTCTTTTGAATGTCGCTTTCTGGAACTTCAGTGACATGTGGTTGGTCTAACTATTTATAACGGAAATCGGTGTAAGTTTGCGGTACGGGCGCGTAAAAACTATTTCCGTTCGAAACAGATGTTGCGTAAATACGACTCTAACAGTATTTTTCTTAAAAAAAATAAGAAAAATAGATTTATAGTATATAATATATTGTTTTAAACTTTCATGGTCACTAACATTATAGTAATATAAGTTATTTACGGGATTGTTACCATGTACCTTGTTTTTAGCGAGTTTCCGATATTTCGGCACTGTTGCAAGCGCAACAGTGCCGAAATATCGGATACAAGGTACATGGTAACAATCCCGTAAATAACTTATATTACTATAATTATAGTATATACTTTCATTCATCCTTATTTTGAGAATTTGTTTTTGTCAATTCTTAATTCCTGTACTTAGATACTAATGTATTATATATTATCATATAATTGTATGAGAAGCTCGATGGCGCAGGTGGTTAGCGCGTTCGGCTGCGATCGTTGAAGTTAAACAACTTTGGCAGTGGTCGGTCATTGGATGGGTGACCAAAAATCTTCTATCTCGAGTTCCTCCGTGCTTCGGAAGGCACGTTAAGCCGTTATTCCCGGCTGCATCTGCAGTCGTTAGCACCCGCCAATCCGCACTGGGCCCGCGTGGTGGGTCATGGCCCAATCTCCCTATTCCATCCATAAGAAAGGCCTGTGCCCCAGCAGTGGATACATTAATAGGCTGATGATGATGTATATATGTATTATTACCAATATCACTAAGTTTACTCCGCCGTCTCTCCAACTTCCTCCTGGTCCTCTCCATCCAAAGGTTGCCTGGGAGAGATCGCTCTTGGCGATAAGGCCGCCTATTGTTACTAGTTTTAATTGGTTTTGCACTAAATGTAATGTTTTCTGTGATGTACAATAAAGTGTTTTGTATTGCATTGTATTGTATTGTATTTTTTTTAAGTAGACAACAAGCATGTGCACGCTTCATGGCAAGCGGCCATCATAGCCTTAAGAGTTTAGACGCTTGCGATATGGGATTATCACATGCACGTTGCCTATTCTGACTCCATTTCCTACCCAGTGGGATCCTGATGGACACCTTACACACCAACTATAAAACACGGCATCTTCAAAACTTTTGTGACATTTTACTGTGGCATTCTGTCAGGTGTAGGTTATTTTCTCAGACGTAAAATCCGCAAAGCTCTTCTACGCTCTGCTAAAAAACGTTTTTAATTATGGTGGAACTTGTTTATAGTTCCATCATAATTTTAAGAAGTTTTGGTTCTGCCTGAACTTCTAAAAAAATTTAAACTTGTAAAATATTTGTACGAGTTATTATAGAATTTATAAAATATTTTTACGAGTTATTATATTATTACTACTATAATATAATAACTCGTACAAATATTTAACAAGTTTAAATATTTTTATGACGACATCCGTGGCCGAGTGGTTTGTACGCCGGGTTTCATGGTGTCGCCGACTCGAGAGTCCCCGGGTTCGAATCCCGGTAACGGTGGGGGCAGATGTTTGTGTGATGAATACGTGCATTTGTACTCCAGTCATGGATGTTTAATATGTATTTCTATATAAATATACTTATATATATACACTATATGTATTCTATCAGTTACCCTAGTATCCCATAACACAAGCCTTATAGTGCGTACTTTGGGACTAGGCTAATTGGTGTGTGTGTTGGAAATATTTATTTATTTATTATTTATTTACTTTTTCTTTTTGTAAACAAATAAAGATTAATCAAGCTAGTATAGAGATTACAATAAATTGAATTGGACTTTATTTATCATAACTAGCTGATCAGCCTTGTATCACCATCAACCTATTAATAAACCCACTGCTGGGACACAGACCTTTCCAATGGATGGAATAGGGAGATTGGGCCATGACCCACCACGTGAGCCCAGTACAGATTGGTGGATACTTAACGACTGCAGATGCAGCCGAGATCAACAGCTTAACGTTCCTTCTTAAACACGGAGGAGCTCCAAATACTAAGTTTTTGGTCGACCATCCAATGACCGACCATTTCGAAACTTGTTTAACTTCTATGATCGGCGGCAGCTCGAACTTCTTAATGTTTGTATCTAAAGTATATGTTATTCCGAGTGAATGCAAGTAATTACCTTGAAACTTTTGTAAAGGGTAAAAAAAACATCGGAACTAGGTTAGGATTGGGGCCTCGCTTCACCCTGCTTGCATGATTGATTGGAAACACATTTCCAGCCCTAACCACAAAAAAGCCCGCCACCTGGCAACCGCAGATTTACACGTTTCCGTTTACGCAGACAAAAAAATTGGTTTAAATTTCAAAAAAAGAATGTGAGCTTTGGTTAGTAATAATAAGATAAGATAGGTACGTATTCCATTTCACGCAATTTATTTATATTTAGAACTATCCTTACAAGCTTATCCCAATGCGATAGTTAAGCTTTCATTAGCTATTTTTAAATTAACAATAACAGTAATACTTTGAAAATAAACTTCGAAAATAATTAACTTTCAATAAAACTTGCTTTGCGAAATTATTCACTACTTACTTTGTTTAGTATGAAAATAATTCGGTTATTTATTATTATTTCAATAATGTAAATTCTCAATGAACAGGTCATTTAAAGAAAAGGCTAGCTGTGTTTATTTATGAACTGCTTGGTTAATATTATAAAAAACACATCTAATTTTTTTTTCATCTAGCGAGATTATTTTAGTTAGCACTTTGAAACTTAAGACATAAATAAGAGCTACCTTGTAACGGAGAACTTTTAATGTCATAATATTATATGCATGTCAGCGGATGGCATAAACTTAATTTCGCAGAAAATCATTAAGCAGAAATCAAGAAGAATCATTGAAGCTTTCAAACGCATAATTTTGTAAGTCAGAATCATCAAGCATAAATTTAATATCCATAATAATTAAAAAGCAGAACCATCATATCACAGAAAGTTCACAGTCAGAATCGTCTTTTGGCAAACAAAAAATTAGCTTTGACTAGTGACTGGTACTTCGCTGGCCGCTGCCGTGGCATGCTCGCTACGCTCTACAAATACCGATTATGCTGAGTGAAATTATGCAGAATAAAAGAAACATTCGGCCAATTAATGATTATACTTAATAAAAATATGCCTTGCAAATATTCGTTTAAAGAAGATTATACCAAATGAATTTCGGAGCAACAAGATTCTGCCAGAATTAAAAGATTATATACCTAATTACTATTAACTGAGAGTACCCACTATTTAAGTTGAATAAATATCTTTGCGAGTAGGTAATATTTTGAGTTCTTCATTTTCATGTTTTAATGTTGTCGGTATTCGGCCGAAAAGTTTGCAATATTCGACCGGATACCGAATAGCGCGAAAAGTGGCCGAATACTGAATAGTTGCCGAATATTCTTGGAATGTCTAGCATAAACATTTCGTTCTTTTTGTTATAATACCTTTTTGAATCTAGCTCTAATGTTACATACCATGATACAGCCAAAGGCAAAAATATAGATGATAAACACCTATATGTATATAAGGTTAAAATTTGGCAGCACAAAAGTACATACTAGAAGCCCGATGTTTATGAACTCACATTTGACCCAATTAGTTAGGAAGTGAACTACCATTATTATATATACCTACCTAATAAGTGTCGTCGTACATTTCCGGTCCGTTATGATTGTAATATTAACAATTAAAGGCAATGTGTTTGTTTTCATTAATTTTACTATTAAGCGAAATGTTGTTGCCAGACTTCAGAAATAAATCTTATTTTGAATATAATATTCTTTATTTGCATTTAATAAGGTTGATAAAAGGTGTTCGCATATAAAGCATAGATACACACATCAAAAAAAGTTTGAGATCACTTGCAAGAGCTGATATATTTTCGAAATTTAACTTAATCAAGAGAAAATGTTTTTTTATTTAAAAAAACACTGAAATGAAATTATTTTTAATTTTAATTTATTTTTAGTATAAAAAAAATAATAATTGAATCCTGAG